GCCACAAAAATGAGTCGGTTTTGATAAATAAATCTGAAATGGGTCTATTTAGGCAATTAAAAATATAAATGGGTTTATTTTAAAAATTTGTTCAGCGTTCAATTATTCGCGAATTTTACCCTTCCCCTCTCATCCGTTCCGCGGACGACGACCGTCGTCGACCCGCCTAAAACCCTAAAACCTAAAATCGAAATCTCCTCCCAAAACCCTAACCCTAGAGTCCATCCATGGCGCTGTACCTCCTTTACGAGTCAGCTTCAGGCTACTCGCTCTTCCATGCGTACGGACTCGACGAGATCGGCCAGAACACGGAGGCCGTCAAAAACTCCGTCCTCGATCTCACTCGCTTCGGCAAGACCGTCAAGCTCGAAGCTTTCCAGCCTTTTTCTTCCGCCCTCGACGCCCTCAATCAGTGCAACGCCGTCTCCGAAGGTAAAGCCCCTAAAAGAACAAATTGTTTTCAAATCATAAGCCCCCTAAAGCTCGGGCAGTTAAAAGAAAAGAAAAGCACCGAAAGCTCGTAAGTTTGTCAAATAAGTCCCTCGTGCGCTGAAGTTTGGAAACGTATTTGTCGATTTTAGGGATTATGACTGAGGAGTTGGGTAATTTTCTGAGAGTGAACCTGCCGAAGGTGAAGGAAGGGAAGAAGGCCAAGTTTAGCCTGGGAGTGGCTGAGCCGAAAGTGGGGTCTCAGATTCAGGAGGTGCTGAAGATCCCTTGCCAGTGCAACGAATTCGTGCTGGAGTTGCTTAGAGGCGTAAGGCTGCATTTCGACCGATTTATTAAGGACCTCAAGGTTGGCGTTTTCAAAACTCAATTCATCATGCTTTAAGAGAAGACGGCTTGTGTTTGATTCTTGTTTTTTTGTGTTGTGTTGTGTTGTGTCTGTCGTAGCCGGCAGATTTCCCTTGCCAGTGCAACGAATTCGTGCTGGAGTTGCTTAGAGGCGTAAGGCTGCATTTCGACCGATTTATTAAGGACCTCAAGGTTGGCGTTTTCAAAACTCAATTCATCATGCTTTAAGAGAAGACGGCTTGTGTTTGATTCTTGTTTTTTTGTGTTGTGTTGTGTTGTGTCTGTCGTAGCCGGCAGATTTGGAGAAGGCGCAGCTGGGGTTGGGCCATAGTTACAGCCGGGCGAAGGTGAAGTTCAATGTGAATCGAGTGGACAATATGGTGATTCAAGCTATATTTCTGCTTGATACACTGGATAAGGATATTAACTCGTTCTCCATGAGGGTCAGGTATGTTCTGATTTTAGTTTAGATCCGAAGCACGCTATTACTTGGGATTTGACTATCCTCATTGATCTGTTCCTTTTGTTGTTGCTAGTTAGCTTTCTCCTGCTAGGTATCTTGTTTTGTTGCACCGCTAACTGGTAGATGTGGAACTGTAGTAAATTTTGTAGAGAATATTAGTAACTTTTGTAGAGAATATTGATGAGCCCAGAATAATCCCTCATAAGCAGCCATTCGACGGTGCACATACCCAATATTTGATGCTGCTCTTGTTCACCATTTGGTACCATTTGGGGTGACATCAGGCTAAAGTTGGCCTCTTTCTAGGTTAGCTGTTATTGCATTTAGTTAAATTTGGACTTTCCTTGCGGTGTATGAATAATTTCATGTACACTCATAATGCAGGTTAGTTGGTCGTGTACCATTACCATCTGGTACATTTCAAAGTAAGCACCGGCATCGACTCTTAGAATATCTTGGTCCCTAGTTTGAATGTTGCCTTTTGTTTTGTGTATTAGCTCTTCATTTTGTTTTGAATTAACTATTTGAGCATGACTAAACGTGTTATGTGTGCTTCACATTTTGATTATGTGAGTTAAATAAATATATTTTTTTGTCCTGTGCATAAAAGATTTGAACCTTTTTCAAATAAACCATACTGCAGAGAGTGGTATTCATGGCATTTCCCAGAACTTGTGAAGATTGTCAATGACAATTATTTATATGCCAAAATTGCAAAGCTTGTGCAGAACAAGTCAGATCTATCTGAAGATCATATTCCACAGTTGTCTGACATTCTTGGTGATGAGGACAAAGCAAAGGAAATTGTCGAAGCGGCCAAAGCATCCATGGGTAAAACATAAATTACTTCCCTTTACATTTACAAAGAAGTTCTCCTAAAGCCTGCATGTGGACAAAACATAGGTTGCTTCTCTTTAATCTTTATCTTTTATTTTCTTCTTTTTTCAGGGCAAGAGTTATCTCCAATAGATTTGATTAATGTCCAACAGTTTGCTCAGAGAGTTATGGACCTATCCGAGTACAGGAGGAAGCTTTACGAGTATCTCGTCACAAAAATGAATGACATTGCACCAAATTTGACCTCCTTAATTGGTGAAATCGTTGGTGCACGTTTGATTTCACATGCTGGAAGCCTCTCTAATTTGGCGAAATGCCCGGCTTCTACTCTTCAGATACTTGGCGCAGAGAAAGCCCTTTTCAGGTTTCTTTCATCATCTTAAATTTATCATGAAACTTAAGTCATGGTTTTGAAGGACCAATCGAGCTTGTATATTTCAGACTCACCGTACCTGTAATTCAAGCCTTGTGTTTTGGTTGAGCCAATAGCCTTTATTTCAAGTGCTTTATTACTGAAAAAATAACTTACTGTACATACATATGCACTGTTTGATGCTAACATCATCTGGGTTAGAAGCTAGGGTGGGAAGTCTTGTACGTGTAATTTCTTTTGCTTCTAGAAAACTCAATTACATTACAAAACGTCCCACGAAATGCTGAACTCTTCCTCTTTATGCACATATTATTATTAATATTTGGTTCTAATTCTTTAGTTATTCACAGGGCACTAAAAACTCGAGGAAATACTCCGAAATATGGCCTGATCTTCCACTCTTCTTTCATTGGACGGGCATCAGCTCGAAATAAAGGGCGATTAGCTCGTTACCTTGCAAACAAATGTTCGATAGCCTCTCGTATTGATTGTTTTTCGGGTGCGTCTTTATCCCAACAAATAACACCTTGTTTTCCTTAAGGAAGCATCTATGTGGTCTGGATTTGTTGATTTAATAATTTGAATCCTGAATCAGATACGAGTACCACTGCCTTTGGGGAAAAGCTCAGGGAGCAGGTTGAGGAGCGATTGGATTTTTATGATAAGGGCATTGCTCCTCGAAAGAACATTGATGTTATGAAGGCTGCTCTTGAGAGTGTACTGCAAAATGATCAAGAAGGAGATGGCAAGGGCAAGTTAAAACTATTGTGTCTCCATTTAGATCTTTTCAAACTAAATGTTACCTTACCTTGAAGACTAAAGAAAGGAAGAAAATCAAATAAACCAGAATGTAGCATTAGTTGTTAATGTGTAAATTTAACAAAAAAGTGCCATGAACATTGTGGGGTGTTGCACAGTACCCCTAATTTAGTAATGTGAGAAAACTACCATGAACTTTCAAAGTGCCAGATAGCTACCACGAATTACTAGAAATGGACACTGACCACGCTAACAGGAAGGATATGAGGCATTAGTCTACTCCTGAAAATAGGAGAGGGGAAGAGGGTAATATAGATGGGGGCAAAATTGTCCGTAACATATCACCTGCAAAGCTCATCACGACTTAAACTACCTGCGCCAGTCATGGTGTTTCAAGTTCATGGTAGTTTTCACCAATTTTATGGTTGAGGGGTTTTTGTACAAAACCCTCCAAATATCATGGTAGTTTTATGAATCTACCCATAATGAAAATTCATGGATCATCCCATTCATTCACAGCTGAACTGAAGGTGGAATGACAATTGTCTCATTTTCTCTACTCTGACTAGTAACTAGTTGTGGACGCTGACTTTTATTCTCACTGCATTATCCAATTTGGGATAGCATGGAAGTTTCGACTATTTCAAGATCAAGTTTTATATTGAGAATTCAGAACAAAATATATCACTACCTATTTCGTTTACTCGTTTAAGGCGTCAACTTTCCAATGCTATGTTCTATGCCAACATTTTCTTTCTTCCTGATTTCAGAAATGGATGTTGAGCAAGCAGGCACCGATGTCCCTGCAAAGAAAAGCAAGAAGAAGAAGAAGAAATCAAAGAGCGAGGCTACAGATACAGAAAGCATGGCGGTGGATAAATCTACTGATGACTTTAAGACCGATGCTTCTGCTGAGCCATCAACTGAAAAGAAAAAGAAGAAGAAGAAACACAAATCCGAACAGGAGCAAGGGACCGTGACAAGTGATGATGCAGGGGATAATAGTACTGCAAAAAAGAAGAAGAAAAAGAAGAACCATGAAGTCTCAGAGGATGGTGATGCTGAAATGGCATCCGAAGTGAAGAAGAAAAAGAAGAAAAAGGCGAAAAATGTAGATGAGTAGTTTGAATCAGTTATCCTTGAAGGCTATAGTATTAAAATCCCATGTGTATTTATTTGCTCTCCTACTAGAAATCATGCACTCCATTTTGGTGAGATGAAATACACTTGCAATGTTGTATCATGAGGTGGATGTTATATGTCGCATATTTTGGGTACCCCATAAGTTGTGTATCTTGTTAAGGCTCTTATGTGATTAAGATGAAAGGCTTACATGAAGCTTTGGTTAAATTTTATTTTTTTATTAAGCGAAGCCAACGAAAATATTATTCTACGCTAACAAAGACCGATACAAAAAACTTAATGCAAGGGAAAGTCGTAAAGGATACTTCAACAAGGGGATGAAGTAACCTTTTTTTTTAATAAATAAATAATTTGTTTACCATCTTTGCCAAAGCGAGCGCTTTTGGAGAGGCACATGTTATTCTTCCATTAAAATCATACGCATGATTTTCTCCATTAAATTTAGAAGACGTGTAAATTTTTATATATTTTAGTTATCAACAGACCAATACGAAAATCATTCGTCTTCTCCTCTCTCTGCTATAAGGCATTGGACGGATTGTCCCTAACAATCTTTATCAAAATAAATTGCACTTAAATATCCTGAAGTTTTTCTTGCTTAGCACTCATGTACCTTAAGTTTCTAATACTTGTATTTATATATCTTCACTTGTTTTAGAGCACTTATACACCCTAAAATTTATAAAACTTGCACTTAAATGCTCCGAAGCTTTCAAAACTTGCACTTAGATACCTTTAGTTGTGCAAACTTGAGGATATTTAAGTGCAAATTTTAAGAGCTTTAGGGCATTTAAGTGCAAATTTTATAAACTTTAGGGTATATAAGCGCTGCCAAAAACAAAAAAGAGTATATAAATAAAAGTTTTGTAAACTTTATGATATAGAAGTGCTATCATAAACAGGTGAAGATATATAAGTGGAGAAATTCTTATGTCAACTTAAGTAGACCATCCACCTACTTTCTTACCCATTGATCTTGCCTAGGGATTCATGAGAGATATGAAGAGACTTTATATATATATATAATTATATATATATATATATATATAATATATTAATATAATAGATAATAGAAAAACTTATGTCAACTTAAGTGGACGTCCACTAAGTTTCTATCCATTGATGATACATTGATGAGCTACATTGTGAATGATCGTTAAATTTGATCTACATATTCTAAACCCCAACATACCAAATTTAGGGTGAACCCGTCGTGGTTTGACCCTTCATCATCTTAAATTGATACGCAGTGGATGAAGGGTCAAAATCACGACGGGTTCACCCAAATTTGGTTGGTGAGGTTTTAGAATATGTAGATCAAATTAACAGTGCGGATCATCCACAATGTAGCTCAATCACAGTGATCATCAATGACTAAGAAACTTAGTGGAACTCCACTTAGTAACTTGACATAAGTCTCTCTCTCTTATATATATATATATATATATATATATATATATATATATATATATATATATATATATAATATATGATATATATAATGATGGATAAAACTTTTGTTGGACAAAGGTTTGCTATCCACTTTTAAGTTGACATAAGCTCTCTCTATAACAAGTGAGAAATAGGGGAAACTATGACTTATTTAATGGCAAAGCAAGGCAAGTATTTCTTATCAGTCTCTCCGTCTATTATTATACACAGGTACACTTTGTCCACAAAATTGGACAAAACTCCATCGCTTTCCCGAATCCTTATCCCTCTCGCCAATAATAATCAAACAATAGGCTCCACGATTTTCATCAGACCTCGGGAAACGCAACTACCTTCCAAAATTCACAATCAGTTCCTCCACATACCCCTGACGTCTCCACAGTTTTTGCTATTGGCTCGCGGGGGCCCCGCCCGCGAGCCAACTCGCGTGAGAGGAGGGGGCAGGCGAGTGGGCCCCACAGCTTTGTGGGGCCATTCGCTGCCCCACCTCCTCACGCGAGTTGGCTCGCGGCGGGGCCGCCGCGAGCCAAAAAGCATTTCCGTGTCTCCACCTCTCCCACTCCTCCCTCTGACAAGTGGTCCCCACCAAAATCTCAGATAAGGACTCGTTTGTCAAAAGTTCAAGGAAGATGAGTTAAATAGAAGGATTAATGTACTTAGTCCATTCGATAATCTAAAGGACTAAATTATTAACCCGTTAAATAAGTTTTATTTTAGTCATTTTGATCAGTTTTAGTGTTTGGGAATAACAATGATTTTGACTATTTTCTTTATAATTAGAAGGGTTAACTCTTAATCCTTCTAGTATTAGTAAACCCCTTATTTTCATCCCTCTAGAGAGGTTAGTTTAACCCTTTTATATTTTTTATGTTTGGCAAATTATGGAGGGTTAACTCACTTTAACATTGTATAGAGTTTTTGTGTTTGGCGGGTTAAGAATGAGTTAAGTCTCCTTAACCCCCCACTTAACCCTTTGCCAAACGGTACATTAGTTACTTATTTATTTTGAGGACAAATTTTGAAAATCAGCCTATTTGAGAAAATAATCGTAAATTCCGACCTATTCTTAAAAATTTTGTTAAAACCGACCTAGTTTCAGCCGTCTAGCTGAGAGTAGGTCGTTTTTGACAAAATATGTTCCGAAACTTCACGGGACTTCAAGTCTCGTGAAGTTTTGTATTGTATAAAAACTTAAGTCCCGTGAAGTTTTGAAAGATTTTTTCTTCAAAACCGACACAGTTTCAGCCCGACGGCTGAAACTTGGTGGGCTTTCACAAATATTTTGTGAATGGATTCATTTTTTGCAATTATTTTCTCAAATAATACGGTTTTCAAAATTTGCCCTTACTTTGATGCCAAGCGCATGTCTCTTTCTGATTTCAACGGAGAGCCAAGCTCCAAAGAAGAATTTTGTGGCATAGCACATAAATTTTGTTAAAAGGAAATTCTAGCGGGATGGTTTACGCGGATCATATTTGATTCATCTATTCGGCGTACTATTCCTAAATCTCTCGTATGGAAACTGTCAAATAAGGGGCTGTTTGTTTCGAAAAAAAATGGGAAATCAAAGAATAGGAAACCTATTTCCTATAATAATTGTTTTGAGGTTGTTTGGTTGGTTTAAAAAAGAATGAAATTATAGAATAGAAGATCAGATGAGATGAGTTGTCACTTTATTATTGGATGATGTGAGAGATTTTAAAAAAAAATTGTTTTGAGGTTGTTTGGTTGGTTAAAAAAAATAAGGAAATGAATTGGAGGTATATTATTGGATGATGTTTTGAGGTTGTTTGTGTTTGGTTCATTTTTAAAAATAAGAAAATAGATGAGATGAGATGAGTTAGAGGTATATTATTGGATGATGTGACACATACTTAAGAAAATCAACTTCTTGTTTTTTTTTTTAAGAAATGGATGGAAAGGAAGGTTTAATGAGATGAGATGAGTTGTCACAATATTTTGGATGATGTGTGTGATTTTTAAAAATGAGATAAGATGAGATGTGATGAGTTGGATGATGTGACACATTTCTTGTGTTTGGTTTATTTTTAAAGGTAAGAAAGGAGATGAAATGAGATGAGTTGGATGATAAAAATAATATTTTATGGGTGAGTTTTAGGGATGGAAATGGATAAAAATATTATTTTATTAATTTCCTTGTACTGATTTCCTTTTCTTTAATTTTAGGAAACCAACCAAACGGGCCCTAAGTGGCGTGTTCGAATATGCAAAAAGTAGAGCCACAACAATAGATGCTCCACCCAAATTGACATTTTCATCAATTGTTAACAAGTTTTTCAGAAAAGAATTGATATAATTGAATTTATACTTTTTTATAAAAAAAAATACTGTCACGTCCACTGCAGCCAACTTAGGTGCCATAAGTATTGTAAGTAGGAGTGCTAAACCGTATCCGTATCCGTATCCGAGAAAATATCTGTAACCGTATCCGTTAGGATACGAATATGGTTACTCAAATCTATAACCGATAGGATATGGTTATAGATATGGTTTTGTAGTGAAATATCCGTATCCGTATCCGAAATATCCAAATACATATTAGTCAAACTCTTACGATAGTTTCGATTATTAGATTATGGATTTGTAGTTAATTTTGATGATCAAGATGTCTAATCTTAACTTTTTAATTATAATGGACATATTAACAAACTCTTTTGTATCACATGAACTATGTTTTTCTCAATACTATCTAGTTTTCTCATATCTGTTTTGTATCTGCATGCATATCCGTAACCGTATCCGATTTTAGCAGATATGGTTATAAATTTTTCTTACCGAGGTATATCCGTATCCGTATCCGAGATAGGTAAGCAGATATAGATATGATAAGCATCATATCCGAGCCGTATCCGGACCGAATGCACCCCTAATTGTAAGCCATCGCATTAACTGATAAAATTAAAAATAAATAAATAAATATCGGAAATACTAATTTGAGTTGATTTTAGGAAAAATTGCTTCAAGGCCCCAAAACTAAATTGTTGATGTGTCCCAGCCCCTTGAACTTTTTCTAATGTGCTTTTTCCCCAAAAATAAAAAATCCATGTGAATCAGCCCCATTTACAATTTCCAAGACAAAAAATTCCCAGACTACCCTCTTCTTCTTCTTCAGATCTTCTCTAGATCTACTCTTCTTCCTACAAACCCATCTCCTCTTCCACCCTCTCTCTAACCTCACTTGAAACCTCCAACACTGCCGCTACCTCCGTCACCCCTAACTCTACCTCGCTAGGGGGTTCTGCAAGAACGGCAACAGGTGCAGGTTCCTCCACGACCTCAACGAGGACAAGCTCGACGCAGCCATGGCCTCGCCGCTGCCGCCACCGCCCCCTCGGGCAGCTTGCCGATGTCCCCGTTGTCGCCCATGAACCAGAGGTAGGTGACCAACGGTTGACCGAGTTCTTTTCTTAGGCTTTCGACGGTGGGTTCCGTGGATTTTGATGACTCGTTTTGATTTCAGGGCGGCTGCGACGACGGAGCTGATGCTCGCCGGAGATGAGAGCAGGTTCATAGGCCAATCGAGGATCGACCGGAGTGAGTTTGATGTTGTTTGTTGTCATGTAAGCTTCAGTTGAACTGGGAAGGAGTTTGATGTTGTTCTCTGTGCAGTTTGATTGTTATTGATATTGCAAATTGTATGGTGGGATTTTGGGAATGCATTGTGGTCATTGTTGGTTTGATAACACTTTTCCTGATGATAACACTTTCAGAGAAGAGGATGTCTCCAATTATTTTAGGTTACGAGAAATTTTCTTTTTGAACTTTTTGATGGTTTGACAATTGTTGTTTGGGGTTAAAATTGATTTGGGTTCGTGTTATTTACTATAGTATTTATGGGCCAGTTCAAGATGTGAGGATCCCCTAATCTCAACATGTTGGGGCTTGGATGTATATCAAAATCAAGAAAGAAGTAATAAACTCAGGGTGTGGTATATATAAATGTTGTACAAATTTATGATGGTAATTTCTTGTGTCTGCCGTTGTTTGTTGTCATGTAAGCTCCAGTTGAACTGAGAAGGAGTTTGATGTTGTTCTCTGTGCAGTTAACTGTTGTGGTTAGCATGTTAACTCTTGTGTTTAACATGTTAACTCTTATGGATAACATGTTAACTCTTATGGATAACATGTTAACTTTGTGGATAACATGTTAACTTTTATGGATAACATGTCAACTCTTGTGGATAACATGTTAACTCTTGTGGCTATATATTAACTCTTGTTATAGTTAACATGTTAACTCTTGTGTTTAACATGTTAACTCTTGTGGATAACATGTTAACTTTTATGAATAATACGTCAACTCTTGTGGATAACATGTTAACTCTTATGGATAACATGTTAACTTTTATGAATAATACGTCAACTCTTGTGGATAACATGTTAACTCTTATGGTTATATGTAAACTCTTGTTATAGTTAACATGTTAACTCTTGTGGATAATATGTTAACTCTTGTGGCTAATTTGTTAACTCTTATGGCTAACATGTTAACTCTTATTGATAACATGTTAACTCTTGTGGCAAACATGTTAACTAT